GAATGATTACCGGCCTGTGGCACTCACCCCCATCATGACGAAGTGTTTTGAGAGGCTGGTAAAGAACCATATCGTCTCCATACTTCCCCCCACACTTGACCCGTTCCAGTTTGCTTACCGCCCTAACCGCTCTACAGAGGACGCTCTCTCCTCTGAGCTCCATATGAGCCTGGCCCACCTGGAGGAGAAGAACACCCATGTGCGAATGCTGTTCCTGGATTTCAGCTCAGCGTTCAACACAATCATCCCCCAGCATCTGGTAAACAAACTGGGACCCCTGGGACTCAACACACCCCTGTGTAACTGGCTGCTGGATTTCCTAATAGAGAGACCCCAGTATGTTTGGGTCGGTAACAACACCTCCAGCACCATCACCTTAAACACCGGCTCCCCGCAGGGCTGCGTTCTGAGTCCACTGCTTTTCACCCTGATGACCCACGACTGCTGCTCCAGGTTCAGTACCAACCACATCATAAAGTACGCGGACCATACAACAGTGGTGGGACTCATCAGGGACAACAACGAACAGGCCTACAGGGAGGAGGTGAAACATCTGACAGACTGGTGTAACACCAACAACCTGATCCTGAATGTCGATAAAACAAAAGAGATCATTGTCGACTTCAGGAACAAAAAGCACTGTCACCCACCACTCCACATCAACGGCACAGCAGTGAAGACTACAGACAGCACCAAGTTCCTGGGGCTGCATATCACAAGCAGTCTGACCTGGTCCACTCACACTACATCACTATGTAAGAAGGCACAGCAGCGCCTACACTTCCTGCACAGCTCCCCCCTCCCATCCTCACCACGTTCTACAGAGGAACCATAGAGAGCGTGCTGACCAGCGGCATCTCCATCTGGTCGAGAGACTGCAACGCCAAAGACTGGAAGTCTCTGCAGAGAGTGGTCAGGACAGCAGAGAAGATCATCGGAGTGTCTCTCCCTCCCATCAGAGACACCGCTCAGAAACGCTCCCTGACAAAAGCCCAGAACATTTTGAAAGCAGAACAGCCAGATTCTGCAATAGCTTTTTCCCTATGCCATCAGACTGCTGAACAGCAAGTAGACCAGTAACATAAAGATTACATTACGTTGTGTAAAGAGCACATATGTTTTATATAGTATGTCTATTTTATTTATATGTATAGTAAGTCTTTATATTTTAAACGCACACTTTATCTTTAATTTTATCAGCACCACGTCACTATTATTTATTTATATGTACAATTTTAGCAAGTTTTTATATTGTCCTGTTCCTGTAAGCCAGTACAACGACATTTCGTTTTAATAGTACACTCTGTGTCTTGTTGAAATGACAATAAAGTATGTCTATGTCTAAGTCTAATGTAAACACAGACCATATTACTTCCAAAACACGTCGCACATTGTTTCTGATAAAAAGTGCATTTTGCATAATAGGTGACCTTTAAAGTTAACAGTTTTTTTTAATGTGTGATGCCTGAAATAAGAACATTCGTTAAAACGAAATGTCAATTTTCGATCTATGACATCAAATATGTCTGTAAATACCTGACTTGCATATGTCTGAAGCTTCTACGTGTCATAAAAACGGAGGTTGCTAACATTTGACAAAAGAAGCGACATCACGGCGAACATTAGCCGCCTTAAGCTTAGCGGTGGTGACGCACAGCCTGTACCTGAGCAGGGAGGCATTGAGTATGTGGGAAAACCTGTAGGGGACACTCCGGACAGACTTCACTCAGACTAACATCAAATGGGGATGAGGAGGTGTGGTGGACGGAGCTGAACCTCCCTGATCTGGGGGGGGGGGGGGCTGCGACTCCGAGGCTCAGTGGCAGATTGCACGGGGCAGTATCGAGCAGCCGGTCAACAACGGGCACCAGTGGGCATCCTCCATTAATCCTGCAGCATTTACAGTTACCCAGCAGTGCCAGGGCCCGGCGGCCAACAGAGGGCCAGACTGCTGCCCCCCCTCCCCCACACATTCATCTTCCCACCAGGCTGCCAGACAGACGCAGACAGCACAGACAGAGATGAAGAAAGAACGAGAAGGAAGAGGACAATGGGCAGCAGGAGAAGAGAGAAAGAAAGAAGGGATAGAGATGTGTGGAAAGGTTAAAGGGAGGAGGTGTAGAGGTGGAGACAGGAACATGGAGAGCAGGAGGGAGGAAGAGAAAGCAGCACAGTCTTTATCACCCGCTGTAACTGAGTAAGGAGGCCCCGGGATCCTGGCAGAGGTGAGGGGGGGGAGGAGGAGGAGGAGGAGGAGGAGGAGGGCTGAACCACAGATAACTAGTCCCTCTATGTATCTGTTTGGTCATAAAATCAAGACGGTTCTCTTAACAAAAGCAGTTAAAAGGCCTCCAAGTCAGTTTTCCATTGGCTCTGATATTGGTCAAAGTTACAGCCGAGAAGTTTTACATGTTGTTTGTAAACAAGTCATTCATTCACATGATCTAATCCAAAGATGAGTGCATCCGAAATATTGATACTTATTCTACATAGACCTTTTTCCCAGAAGACAATTCCATACCTTTGCAAAGGAACGTCATTCACACAAGCCAATCAGAACAGTCATTTTCAAGAGCGGGCCTTAAAAGAGACAAGTGCTAAAAACAAGCATGTGCTTTTTGCAAATTAAAGCATGTACAAGAAAAAGTAAGTGAACCCTTGGAAAAAACAGTTTTTATGTATAGATTTGTAGATTGGTACTAAATGATGGTCATATCTTCACCTTAGTTACAACAATCAACAAACACATTCTGTTTTAACTCATAGCAGACCAATAATAATTGGCTATTAATTTTGTTCTTGTCCATATTGAAAACATCATTCAAACATTCCCTGGGTAGGTTGGAAAAGCTAAATATATATGAACCCCTCGACTTTAAACAAAAGCTAACAGAGTTAGGGGTTAGCAAACCTTGTTTTATTAATTGAAGTGTTTTTGATTTCTAATAATCACTCAAATATTTGGAGTTTCCCATACACAAGAAGCATCTGCTGACGCTCCCTAAGTGGGTGCCCAGCAAAGATGACTGTGTTTAAAAAAGACATGAACGATTATAAATGTCTGTGTGTTATTAGCTTAAGCACATTGTATTTGTTTGTTATTGTGACAAGTGATAAGTTGAAAATCAGATCAGATTTTATGACAAATTCATGCTCAAACCAGGAAATTCCAATGGGTTCACATACATTCTATTGCCACTGTATACATGTACTAGAAGAAACATGAAATACAACTAGGAACTTGAAAGAGAGCATTATGTGTAGCCTTTAAGTTGTTACTAATAACATTTATAATGGCGCCATATCTCAGTAAGCCATGAAAGAGTTTGAAAGTGAGCCAGCAGTAGAGCAATAGGACCTGGAAACTGAAGCAGCTAAATTGAATTATTCTTTATACAATGTCCACCTGTTTTTATTAATATATAGAAAGATAACATGACAAGTTGTGGTTTCAGGGGAGGTTGCAAGCTGAAACTTTTTCTTTTGCAAACAACATTTGGACATGGTAATAGTTTTGTTCCGTTTGAGTTACGGTAAAAAGCCCTTTATCTGACTGAACAACTAAAAAAAGTCCTAATACACTTCGGGAAAATGATTTGCTAGTTCAAAATCAACTGTCCAACAGTAGGACTTTGTGATTGTAAATACACCATTTAAGTATAAATGTTGGGAAAATACTGAATGTTCCTTCTATATCAGAGTAGCACATGATAACAGAGGCCCTACGTAGCTGTGTACGTAGCCGGATGTATGACTCTACTCTGGGAACTATTTGTCCAACGCAGCCCTGTGTGTGATGACTACTTCCATGCTTGCAAGGATAATAAATACATGTATCCTGATATTGAAGACCAAGCCGGTGACGAGTAATCTTTTTCTAACTAAATTCAAAGGGCACAGGGCATCTCTGATTATCTCACGTATATACAGTATGCGTATGCTCGAAGCATAGCCTATATTTATACAAGATCATTTGGTAACCATGGTTATATGTTTGCAAATTCAGATATTTCTTGATACATCAAAGGAATTAAATCAGAGGTCTCCTAACATAGTGGGTGTTTCTCAATGTCGAGTACGCTTGCTTGGTAGCACATGTCTTCCGAGTGTCTTGCTTCAGAAGCGAGGCAAGAATCCTTCCTGGCATTCGGAAAACGAAGAGTGGAACAGGCTAGCAAGTGTGCAGGTGTGCTTCATATGAGAGGCCCCGCCTTACATTTTCCGCCACAGATTTGGGGAAACTGGTCCGTGCGCAAAGCATTGTGGGGATTTTAAGACTGCGGAGTCTACACATGTGCAGCCTCGAAATTTCTCCAAACGAAGTATGCTGGACATTGGAACAGTACTTCGGCGGCACTCAATGACGTAGTATGCTTGAAATAGTGGCTCTGGAGCAGCTTTACTCGAGATTGAGAAACACCCAGTGTCCTACTGTGTGCAGTTCCCCCAGTAAAAAGAGAGGGAAACGAGGGGTAAATAACAAGGTCTGCGTGTCCCTAATGTGTGAAGTCCAGATGAATAATACAGATATTTCTGGGTGTAACCAGAGAACATACAATATGATACGATAATACTTTATTGTCAGATCAAGTCTGACTAACTTTATTAAATCGTGGGACCCGGTATCCCTGATTTGATGGTAACAATTCATATTCTCTGTTCAGGACATGTTTGGGTCAGAAGTTATGGTGAGCTGATTCAGAGTCTCTCACAGGGTTGATCTACTATCTTTGAGCAGATGTTCACCTGGTGGAGGAGTTTGGATTTGAAACACTTGTACCATGTAGTAATGCTATACTGTAGAACACTCAGAATCACAGATGTAAAAAACTAAAGAAGAATTTGTCTACTCGCCCCGAAAGCGGTGGAGAAAATTCTTAGTTTTGTCCTTTTGCAGACAAAACATAAATATAAACATATGAGGCAGAAATGTGCTTTTTGATTTGGTACATGTGTTTTATGAATACACAACACAAACATTGAAACAAAGAAAGGCTGACCTGATGGAGTAAGGACAGCTGAAGTGTTTTTCTGCGTCTCTCTGGTCTGCCTGCATCTGCAGCAGCCTGCCAATCACCTTCATCAGCCCCTGGACATTTCTGTTCACAGATGGTAAAACACAGAACATACAAAAAAAAGATCAAGAAAGATTCAAGGAAAGAGGAAAACTGTACCGTTAGTGAAAATAAATCTGAGAGGATCATTATCAGTCATGTGTTTACTGCAGGACCATCGCCATGATCACATGAGGGCAGTTATTTAAGCTCAAAGTCATTGTTATGCCTTTTTCTTCACAGAAGAAACTGAAACGTTGACTTGAATTAAATATATTATGTATGTATGTTAATATTATTGAAAGTACTTTTCTATTTAAACATCATATTATTGCTTGCAACTAACCTAGTACAGTCATGCGAAATGTGTTGACATATTACATTTAATTCAAGTCAACGTTTCAGTTTTTCCAGTTTATCCACGATCGAGGGAATTTAAAGCCAACGTTCCAAACGGGGCAAAAGTTAGGTGGGTATAGAGTGGTGCAGGAATGAGTCCTCAACTCTGGAAATGAGTTGACATTTTAGCACGTCTGGTTCCCTTGTGTCATAAAACACATTTTTGAAGATTTTGGTTAGATGCCTAAAATCAAGTCTGAGGTTAACACAAGATGATTTCGTTCCACAACGTCAGTAAATACCCCACTTGTCCAACGTTTATGCGTCTTAAAAACGGCAGTAGCTAACAAGTGTCTAAAAGAGACAAAAAAACATCACGCCAAACAGTCCGCCTTTAGTTTTACGATGTTTGTTTATAGTATTACTTTAGATTTGTTTCATCTGCCTATTGCATGTACGCTAAAGACAACATGAAAGGAGTGTTGATATGGGGAGATGAACCTGTCCTGTAAGAATCATGAATGTGTGTTTGCCACAGAGCTTCATTTCTGCTTTATTCTAAAATCCAATGGAAGAATCCCATTGCTTTCCCCCCAGCACCACCTAATGCTTCCCCTGTAAGTAAGAGTGTGTTTCAAATGTCAGGGAAAGAACATGGAAAATGTTTGTCATCATTATGGTGTGGAGCAGTCTGTTCCGTTTGTTTGTTTGTAGCCTTTATTTAACCAGGTGAAGCCCCTTGAGATCAAAAGATCTCTTTTTCAAGGGTGACCTGCAGGACATTAGTTACACATGTAACATAAAAACAACAGAACAACAATAAGGATGACATACAACATAATGTACAGGGTACAGTTTACAAACTCTATTTACAGAGACAGGTACCATGAGTATCAAACAGCATGTCACCCAGCTGAGTTTTAAAATGATGCTGGGGAACCAAAGTGCTCAGTTTGAAACATGTTTGCAGACTGTTCCAATTTAGTGGAGCTGCACAACTAAAAGCTTTCTTCCCTAAGACAGTCCTAGCACTTGGCACATTTAATAAAACAACATCATGAGATCTCAGGCAATATGTACTTTCAATTCGTCGAGAGATCAGAGAGCAGATATAAAAAGGTAGTTTACCCAACATGGCTTTATAGATGAACATGTACCAATGACTGAGTCTCCGTACAGTTAGTGAAGGCAGACCTGCCTTGGCATACAGGGTGCAGTGATGAGTAAGTGCTTTACAGTTAGTAACAAATCTCAGAGCACTGTGATAGGCGGCATCTAACTTTTCCAGGCAATGGGCAGGTGCATTCATATAGATCAGATCACCATAGTCCAGCACAGGTCAAAAGGTCACAGTGACTAGTATTTATAACAGGTAACCACTTCAAGTACTTGTCCTTGCATAGTAACAATATCCAAAGCAGTGTCTGGAGTCTTTTTAGCTTTTGAAAATAGTATTACCTTGGTTTTATCAACATTTAAAAGAAGCTTAAGTTCAGCAAGCTGAGTCTGAATAATGTTAAAAACAGCCTGTAATTTAACACCAGCCTCCTTAATGGAGGGACCTGCACAGTACATCACGGTATCATCCGCATACAAATGTAAAGTAGCTTCATTCACATTTTCACCTAAACTGTTGATATATAGGGAGAATAAAAGTGGACCTAAAACAGAACCTTGAGGAACACCATTAGCAATGTTCAACCACTCAGAAGACAGCCCATCAAAGTGAACACATTGGGACCTTTCAGAGAGGTAGTTCACAAACCAACCACTGCATGGCTGGATATGCCGATACTGAGTAGCCTCTGCTTTAAGATGCGATGATCGACGGTATCAAACGCTTTGGACAGGTCAATAAATAGAGCTGCACAACTCTGCTTATTATCTAAAATACTCATAATGTCATTCACCACTTTCATTGTGGCAGTGATGGTGCTGTGTTGCTTTCTGAAGTCTGACTGATGTTTAGACAGGATGTCATTGTTACATAAAAACACCTTTACCTGTTCACTCACTACGCGTTCGAGCACCTTAGCCAGAACTGACAATTTAGAGATTGGCCTATAGTTATTTTAAATAGTTGCCTCCCCTCCTTTTAGTAAAGGCAAGACATAAGCTGACTTCCATACTTTTGGAATTGCATTTGTGCTGAGGGAGAGGTTAAAAAGAGTAGTAAGAGGAAGAGCAATAACATCTGCAGCTATCTTTAAAAAGAAAGGTTCTACGTTGTCCGGGCCGACCGGTTTCTTAGGATCTAGCTTAGATAAGGCTTCATGAACAATGAGACTGTGTTACTAGCTCAGGAAGCATCATGATGACAGAAAGGTGCTGGGTATATTTAATAGTAAAAAGTCTCCCTAGAGTTGACACTTCCATTAGGGTTTTATAATTAGATTATTCACAACAAATGGGGTAACAGGAGAACGGCCACAGACCTTCAGGAGTATTATTGTGGGCCTGAAACATAAAACATGAACTGAAAAGATGCTTGAAACATTCATAGCAGTGAGGGAAACAGATTATATTCTGTGGATTCCTCAATACCTCTTTCCCATTCCACATAGTCACTATATGTATTGTTCATATCAACATATTGATGCTGCAGTGCAGATATACGGTCCATTATTTTGGCGTGTAAAAAGGATTATGGCCAATTATTTATTGTCCGACCAACCATTGGCAAAAGGTCATTCAAAATGCCGACCCAACAAATCCCATTTACGACGAGTCATATTATGGAGAACAGAAAAGGTCACTTTGCAGTAAGACTTTATCCTCCTGCTCTGATGGGGGGGGGGGGGGGTTAATGGATCACAGTCAGCAGAGGGGGCAAAGACACTGTGGGAGTGTCCATTTACTGAGGGCTGTATTATGCTTCTGTATAAAGATGCTGTACTTGATCAAAGTACCAGTACTCTGTCTGCCAGTGTTTATTCAGTCCCTTCCTGTAGATGTAGTCCCATTTTAAAATTAAATGTTTCGTTTTTCAGTGCATATTACAAAAAGGGCATTTTCTGTTATCATGGTTGGTTTGATAACAGCGTCCAGGATTATCCTGAGACATTGTAAAATAGACAAGTCTCCAGATTTGAAGGAATGGGTAAATACCACGGCTGCACCCTACGAGATTCTGCTGACTAGCTGAGAGTGAGAATGATGAGGATACTCCTGGGAACATTTTATGGACACACATAAAAGTAGAACTTTCTTTCATTTCAAACTTAACCAACAATCATTACTGCACACACTTGTTCCTCTCCATTGCTGATGAACTACATTTCTATTTTATTATTATGAATCCAGGACTTATGTACACTGTAACTTGTTAACCGGTTAGTGAGTGGTGGGATGGAAATGGAGATTTAGTCAGCATTTGCTTTACACATCATAACTTTGTGAATTTGAATGTGAAGTACATGGTTTGTATCACCCGCTTACACAAATAAATAAATGCTTTTGCTAAGATGTACAAGGAAAGATAGATTCAGTAAAGGGTTACTGAAACTTTGTCCTGAAACATATTGACATTAACCCTGCGTACAGTCTGCTTTAAGGTGCCTCTGAGTCCAGGTGAGAGGTGTGACTGTACCTGGCGGAGGGCAGCAGGTTGAGCACGCTGTGGAGGACGTGCTGCAGCTCTGCATGCTGCTGCTCCACCAGCAGGACCACGGCGTCGCAGCAGGAGGAGCGCACCAGAGAGCCGTCACTGCAGCACTGCTGCCACAGAGCCTCCAGAGCCGGACCCTGAAACACACACACACAACTTAAGAAATAGATCCAGATCTAGCCTATAACCCTCCTGTCGTGTTCGGGACAAATCTGACCGAGTTACTACTTTCATAAATATTTTGTTTTACATTTGATTGTTTCAAGGCCTTATGATATCCTTCACAGTAGGCATTTAAACGTATTAAACTGCTTATCACACCTTTCATTGAATTTGTTGTGGGTTAGTAAACTATACCTATGGTGTTCCTGGTCAAAAATGAGCGCCAGTGGAAATGAATGGGTAACCCTAGATTGTGTTCATCCATCAGAGAGAACACAACCAAATCAACAACATGTTCATTTTGGAATACATTTTCAGTGTCTATTCTTTGTATTTGCACTGCAGTTATTCATGTATACCAGTACACTAAGACTTTGTTTACAGCTTAAAATTGTGTTTTATAACATTCAGTGATTTTTAATAGTTTTTGTGTTAATGCAAGAGCAGTTAAAAAAGACCAGTAAAATTGTTGGCCTCAACAAAGTAAGGGGGGGGGGGGGGGGGGGGGGGGGGAGAACACGACAGGAGGGTTATAACATGACATTACTGGAGAGAACTTCCTGGGTGAAAATGACAGATTCTCTGCAGCAATGGGCCATATCAGTGTTTCCTCTAACCCCCGCCCCCTAATGGCTCGGCCACCCTGGTTTGATCTCCAGGAGAAATAAAGGCTTGATTGAAGGCACAAGGGAAGAGGATGCTACTTTTGTTTGTCTTCATTAGCGGGGTGAACAGTGGAACAACCAAGTAAATGTGGAAAACAACATGTAGAGTCTGTGTTGTTGGGATTTGCTCTGAGGAAAACACAAATCCATCCAGCAGCACCAACAATATTACCATGCTTGGGGAGTAAAGCTGAAAAGTTATTGTTTTAATGCAAGCTTCTTAGAAACTGTTTATAGAAATGCTACATAATTAGGCAGCAACTCCAACAAATGAAACAATCACAGTTTTTAGAAAAGGAATAGGAAGATATTTCATAAGCCACAGACTGAAATGGTTCTGGCGTTAATACAGTGGTGCAAGTATTTAGTCAGCCACCAATTGTGCAAGTTCTCCCACTTAAAAAGATGAGAGAGGCCTGTAATTTTCATCCTAGGTACACTTCAACTATGAGAGACAAAATGAGAAAAAAGAAAATCCAGAAAATCACATTGTCTGATTTTTAAAGAATTTATTTGCACATTATGGTGGAAAATAAGTATTTGGTCAATAACAAAAGTTCATCTCAATACTTTGTTATATACCCTTTGTTGGCAATGACAGAGGTCAAACGTTTTCTGTAAGTCTTCACAAGGTTTTCACACACTGTTGCTGGTATTCTGGCCCATTCCTCCATGCAGATCTCCTCTAGAGCAGTGATGTTTTGGGGCTGTCGCTGGGCAACACGGACTTTCAACTCCCTCCAAATATTTTCTATGGGGTTGAGATCTGGAGACTGGCTAGGCCACTCCAGGACCTTGAAATGCTTCTTACGAAGCCACTCCTTCGTTGCCCGGGCGGTGTGTGTTTGGGATCATTGTCATGCTGAAAGACCCAGCCACGTTTCATCTTCAATGCCCTTGCTGATGGAAGGAGGTTGTCACTCAAAATCTCACGATACATGGCCCCATTCATTCTTTCCTTTACACGGATCAGTCGTCCTGGTCCCTTTGCAGAAAAACAGCCCCAAAGCATGATGTTTTCACCCCCATGTTTCACAGTAGGTATGGTGTTCTTTGGATGCAACTCAGCATTCTTTCTCCTCCAAACACGTCTAGTTGAGTTTTTACCAAAAACTTCTATTTTGGTTTCATCTGACCATATGACATTCTCCCAATCCTCTTCTGGATCATCTAAATGCTCTCTAGCAAACTTCAGACGGGCCTGGACATGTACTGGCTTAAGCAGGGGGACACGTCTGGCACTGCAGGATTTGAGTCCCTGGCGGCGTAGTGTGTTACTGATGGTAGCCTTTGTTACTTTGGTCCCAGCTCTCTGCAGGTCATTGACTAGGTCCCCCCGTGTGGTTCTGGGATTTTTGCTCACCGTTCTTGTGATCATTTTGACCCCGCGGGGTGAGATCTTGCGTGGAGCCCCAGATCGAGGGAGATTATCAGTGGTCTTGTATGTCTTCCATTTCCTAATAATTGCTCCCACAGTTGATTTCTTCACACCAAGCTGCTTACCTATTGCAGACTCAGTCTTCCCAGCCTGGTGCAGGTCTACCATTTTGTTTCTGGTGTCCTTTGACAGCTCTTTGGTCTTGACCATAGTGGAGTTTGGAGTGTGACTGTTTGAGGTTGTGGACAGGTGCAGACCCGGCGCCAGAACAAATCTAAAGGGAGGGCATATGATTTTCATGGGAGGGCACACAACACCGTCACGTGCTGCGGGCCTGCGGCACAATATATATATCAAACAGCAAGGCCAACAGCATTGCGCAAAGACGCACACTTATCGCAAATACATACACAAATAAACTACTTTTGAAACATTGTGTGCGTGGCAGCACAAACACTGGTAAATCACGAGCAAGGCACACTGGTTAAGGATGGGAGCTTCCTCATCGCTGCACTCTGAGAGAAATAGTAGAGACGGAGACAATGAACTGCTGTTAGCTCTATTGTGGCATTTTGCATGTCGTGAGAGGTGTATGTTGCTGTGTGGGGAATGCTTTCCATTATTTAGGCCAACTCTGCATCTTTGTACTGCAGCGTATACTCAAACAGCGATAGGAAGAGCCCACTGCCTGACTCGGACATGCTGTGGAGTGAATCGTGGTCACCTCTAACGGCCCCTACACACGGCGGCGTGCGTTACCGCTTGGCGGTGGGCGTGTCTGAAGCTTGGGGATTTTTTACGAACAACGCGACCAACAACCAATCACATGAATGTCCCGCCCCGGACATACAAAGCAAAGCATTCATGCTACATCCATGCTGGCTAAATACACTGTCTATGCTTGCTAGCTGTCCATTCAAACGAAGTACACTGGATATAAACTCCCCAAACAGGCGAAAACCTACCAGTTTCACCCACTGTCTCTGCCACCTCCCCCCATGCCTGGCTCCTCCGGTTTGTATCCCTGTATGTAAAGAGGGACTGGTCATATAGTACCGGGTGATTCCCTACCGCCACGATAATTTTCTCCTCCATTTTTTGACATATGGGAAATAACTGCGGTCTGGCTCTCCCAACATACACGCGGTTTGATTGGCTAGCGCTTGTACTGTCAGATTTGCATACGCGGGATTTGATTGGCTGACGCCTCCGTCGAGGCGGCAAAAGTAGAATATTGCTCTACTTTTGCAGCGAGCACCGCGAGAGAAGCTACGCTTTGCTCCCACAATGCAGTTCGGCGAATCGTGACGTCACCCCATTCAAAGTGAATGGGCAGAAGCGTTGAAGCGGCAACGCACGCCGCCATGTGTAGGCTCCGTAAGAGGGAGTTGGTTGACAGCTAAAAAAGCTATAATATCAACGACAGCTGACACGTAATAACGGCTCCGTGCCAGCTGATCTGCACCAAAGTACTAATTTCCTTATTTGTTTCCTCGCGTATCTGTCTCTCTCTCCACAAACGCTCACATGAAATGTGTTCTTTTGATGCGGCATGCTTAGCAGTCCTTTATCAGTCTATAATGCGTGTTTCCAGTCGCAAAAACCTTTGACAGTAAAAGCCGCATCAGATGAAGACGTACTTTAAACTGTCTACAGGGGAAACAAAAGGCTGCGTCTGCTTTGAACGAATCTTCAAGCCATGGTCTGTTGTTGTACCATGCAGCGGCAAAAGTGCGCTTCTTTCCTGAAAACAATCCCCCTGGATAACGATCCAGTTTCACCTGGTTGGGTTTATTAACCCCAAGATCATCTGGGGCTGTTGGTCTTTGAGCGGTTGCTGGCCCAATAGTAGCCTACCTGTTGATGTGCTGCAAGGTAGCGTCTGTATTGGAGGCACCGGCACGGAGGAGGAGGAGGATGCATGGCGGGTGTGGTACAGGGTGTGGCAACGCAGGTGGTGACGGTAGGGGCACAAGGAGCTGTGCCTCGGAGGACAGCGTTGGTGGCGGCCGCTTTGATAAGTCAAGGATTGGGCTCGCTAACTCAGCCCCGGGGTTTGCCGAGGTCAAGCATGTGACATAAGGCGTGCTGCTGCAAAGGCAGGTGCAGTTCTTTCATCGCTATTTCGTTTTAATCCTTAGACCTTTTGAGCCAATTTCTGATGTCCATTTTGTAATTCAAACTTAAATGGGAGTCTACAGAATGCACAATAAACAATAAACAAATCCAGAATAGGCGGCAGAGTGTGACGCTGTGATTGGTCTAAATGTGGACGAATCACAACAGACACATGAATTTATTTGACGTAGCCTGCGATTTTTTTGTTTTAGTTACTATCTGACATCACATACATCGTAGCATAAAAGTTCACAGTTTATTTATAACAAAACAAATTAAAAAAAAATATTTTTACATTTTTATAAATAATAAAAATCGTGTTTATTGGGGGAGGGCAAGAATGTCAAATGGGAGGGCCTGGCCCTCCCTGGCGCCGGGCATGGACAGGTGTCTTTTATACTGATAACGAGTTCAAACAGGTGCCATTAATACAGTTAACAAGTGGAGGACAGAGGAGGCTCTTAAAGAAGAAGTTACAGGTCTGTGAGAGCCAGAAATCTTGTTTGTTTGTCGGTGACCAAATACTTATTTTACCGAGGAATTTACCAATTAATTCATTACAAATCCTACAATGTGATTTCCTGGATTCTTTCCCCCCATTCTGTCTCTCATAGTTGAAGTGTACCTAGGATGAAAATTACAGGCCTCTCTCATCTTTTTAAGTGGGAGAACTTGCACAATTGGTGGCTGACTAAATACTTTTTTGCCCCACTGTATGTAGCTCACCTGAGGAGAGGACTGTGTGATCGGCCCATTGGAACCTTTCTCCTTCAGCACAGCAGCAACAAGTGTTCTCACCGTCTGGGGAGAAAAAAGGTCATCTTCTATTTTAATTTCATTTGTGGTTTCTGAGTCTGGTAACTCTAATGTATTTATCCTCTGCAGCAGAGGTGTCTTTGGTCTTCCTCTCCCAGGGGAGAGTTGAGTGGTTCTTGCCATAATATGGATTACAACAGTAGTCAAATAGGGCTTTCCACTGTGCACTAACTCTACCTCTGCTCAACACAACTGATGGTCTCAAACACATTCAGAAGGCAAGTTATTCCACAAATTGACTCCTGACAGGGCCACGTGTTAATTGAAAACCATTCCAGATGACGACCTCATGAAGCTGACTGAGAGAAGCCAAGAGTGTGCAAAGCTGTCATCAAGGCAAAACGGGGCTACTTTGAAGAATCTAAAATATAAATCATTTTCTGGATTTTTTTAACACTTTTTTGTTAACTAGATAATTTCATGTGTTCTTTCACAGTTTTGATGTCTTCTGTATTAATCTACAAAGTAGAACAAAAGTTAAAATAAACAAAAACCATTGAATTTGTGTCCAAACTCATGAATGGTACTGTAAATATACACTCAGATAACGTACTCAGTGTCTTACCTGGGCTTGTATGACAGGGCTGGGGAAATCAAAGCGTATCTTCAGACCCTCCATCATACCTGCGGGTCGCACCTGAGAGCAGAAACTCCATCAGAATATATGAACACAGCTGAATGACAGTAACCAGTGTTAGAACCCCAGGAGGGCTCTGTGCTACCTTTTTACTTAAATCAAGAATATCACATATCGTGGAGTAAGCCTTTGAAACAGAAGCAGAGTGGTGCAGCCACCTGTTGCTGCGGAGCATCAATGGAGGTCTGCAGCACCCATCCTCTGAAACCTGAACCCTGCCATGTGTTTTCTAATTATTGGCTTGTGGCCCTGACATCATTTTCATTCAATTATTCAGAAGTCGTCAGCAGACCAACACTCACTGACTCACAGGTTGCTCAGCCGACCTCTAGCCGTCTCATTGGGCGGACAATGTGTGCTGACCCCCAGCTGTCTGTGTCCATATCATGATACGAGACAGACATGGGGTCAGATTATGGATATTCTAATATGGCATAATTGTTGACTTTTCCTGGATTTAAAGGTCGCATTACAGTAAGTGATGTCATTTTCAATTTCTTATTATTTCTCTATACCCACTAGGTCATTATATCTCCATAACTGATGATTATTGATCAGAAATCTCATTGTGTAAACATTTTATGAGAGCACCAAACCAAAGCACCAAACCCTACAATGTAGTTGCGTTGTCAATATAAAAGGTATTCATGCAAAAATAGCGGGGCATTTGATATAAAGGTTATAAAGGTTTTGAAATGCACACTTTTTTGAGGTAATCATTTGAATATGTCTGCTGCTGATTATGAAACATGTAATTATAAGATGCCACTGAACGTACAAAACAGGCACCATCGGCCTGCCAAATGCTGGTTTATTTGCGGCAAGTAATTTTGCTTTACTAGTATGGTCAGATTATCAGAATCAGAAATATTTAATTGACTGGGAACATTTTAGTCACACTGAAAAAACTGAAACGTTGACTTTAATTAAATATATACACTAGGTTAGTTGAAAGCAATAATACTGGGTTCAACTTAACATTATTGCTTTCAACTAACTTAATACAGTTTTGTGAAATGTGTTGATATGATAAATGTAATTTATGTAAAACAGACCCCAAACCCAACCCCCCCCCTGGCTGTTATCTAACTGATAAGTCAGCCTGCCCTGCTGAACTCCCCCACCCTGCTGTACGCTCCACACACACACAGCTGCACGCTCCACACACACACTCTCTGCTTCACAGACAGGTAAGTGAGCAGCACCTGCTATGACACAACAAACTAACACTATGTCTGGCGTGTGCTTATTAACTGATGTTTTTAGACAACGTGGTTGCTGATCACGAAATATCTGAATGTCAATGCTTTTATTTCTTACATTCTTTAATGAGTCTTTAAGCGTTTGACAAGAATGTGTGAAGTAGAAATGTACTTTTTAGGTGAAACAATAAAACAACTCCCTTCATGGTTTAGAGGACAGCTATAGTTTGGAAATAGCTGGCCTTTTCAGTAATTTAAAGACTGTCAATATTTAACTAAAAACTATTCATAACCCTAAAAGAGCCTCAATTGTCAGCTAAACCTAAAATAATGTTTGTACACAAAGCGGTCCAGTTGTTTCTACAGAGTTTGTACTGGACAGCAAAACAATATAGGCTGGCCTGTACTGCTAGCTCTGCATTAGCAATAGAAGAGAGGACAAAGCAGGACCCGTGTTGAGCCAACAGAGCTTTACTGTGGGACTCTCTGCTGCACTCTGACATGCTGGACAGAAACGTGGCCTTCAACCCTGGAAGCACCACAAACAAAATGACATATTTCAAACCTGATTAATTAAAGCCACCCTGTGGAGATTCGATTATGAACAGATGCTCCAAATACCATCAATCAACACATTCAACTTTATGCAAGGGTAAAGCATGGGCCAAGGAAAAAACAAATTCATTTAAAGCGTATCCAAACCATAAAACGCATACACAAATACATTTTCAATTTCATTAACATGATGTGATATATCATTTCACACACAAATTCACATGCTACCCAGAAGTAAATACAAATAATTCAAATGTGTTCCACCTTTACGGGCTTTGATAACATTGTAATGCATCAATATTTATAATCAAAACATATCATATTATTCTGAATTGACCAATCTGCAGAATGACAATATGTTGATACTAATATTTGTTTACTTTAGTAAAAGTACAAAAGTACTTTAATACTTTTAATTGAGTAACATCTTGATTGCAGGACTTTTACTAAGAGTATTCATACACTGGTATTTCTACTTTTACTTAAGTACAAGATCTGAGTACTTCTCTGTTTCCCATAAAGCCCAGCAGGTGTTTGACTGCACTGCTGCAGCCCATGGTGTATTTTGGCAGCTAAATAGTGATTGTTTTGTTTAATCCGTGATGTTTGATAGATTATAGTTAAACCGAATTAAAGAGTGCTCTCTGCTCTGTAGGACATTGCTCTTAGTTGCGGTTTTCAGATTAACAGTCTTTACTGAAAGGCTAGTGAAAATAAAACAGAGGGATTTTTCAAAGAGGTTCAATGTAGCGCGCTTTCTTATGCTAGTCATCCTGGTGCTGATCCGATTCATACATACAACACAAGAAGTCACTTGAGAAAACTATAGCACAAACAAATGTTAGACAACAGGCTACTTTATAATTAAAGTAAATTAAAATACTACCCAGAAGCTCGCAACATAAGTAATAGCTAGCTGAACAGGCTAATAACAGCTACATGGAGTTATCTACACAAACACTTAGCTAACCAACTACCCATGCTTTCGTGTTAACAAAGCCACTGTGATTCCTGGGTAACTTCATATTAGAGGATGAGTTTAAGTAAATAAAAGTTATTCATGTTGCTTGCAGAACTTTACCCCATTCATGCAGATCCAGCCTCTCGCAAACTGACATGCAACTACGGCGAGGCTGGAGGACCAAAACTGACAGAGAGCGACTGTCACACAAAACGCGAACTATAAAAACTACAGCACGGTGTAACAGCCGCTGTGTAACAATCGTTATAAAAACTTAAAGAGGAAGCTTTGAATAGCATGTCTGCAGATAGATGTGTAAATAGCTTGTATTCAGTGCTGACAACTGGTTTAATAATTCCCTCTTAAAGTGAATTATAATTATTTTTGAAAAGAGTGAGACATGGGGGCACTGAGCAGTGGTGTAAAATAACTAAGTACATTTACTCAATAGGCTACTGTCCCCTTAGAGGTACTTGTACTTTAATTGAGTATTTCCATTTTTTGCTACTTCTACTCCGTAACAATTCAGAGGTAAATGGTGTACTTTTACTCCACTGCATGTATGTAATAGCCTACCTTTAGTTACTTCACAGATCTGGATGAATGATGTGAAATCTAATCAAGTGTTAAATCAGACTTTAGTTCCACCTGGAGTAAATTCACAAGCTCCCCTGCAGTATACAAAGTCATTCAAACTAGCTGCACCTTTACCAGCTTTGAGAACACTTTCATGATCAATCATTATAAAACATATCATATATATTATTCTGAAATGGACCAATCTGCACAATGGCTACTTTTACTCTTGGTACTTGGTAAGTAGGCTATATTTAGTGCTAATACTTTTCTACTTTTACTTGAGTAACATTTTGAATGCAGGACTTTTACTCACAACAGAGTATTACACTCTGATACTTCTACTTGTACTCAAGTACAAGATCTGAGTATACTTCTCCCAGCTCTGGTGGCTTCTCCTCCCAGGAGCTGTAATGTCGTCCATATTCATTCTATGGTACTCATCATCTGTTCCCAAGGGGGTTACCCATATTAAAATAAAAGTGTTATCACTATTTAGAAGTGTATCTATAAGGTTACTCCTGTCACATTAAGGGTGACCTGATCAGATGGTAACAATATAGGCTAGTTCTACAGTATACAATGGTTATTTTTTAATTCCCATTACAAAGATTTTGGGGGTTTCTGATTGTGCATGCTGCTGCCCCTAAAGCTTAAAGATGTGAAGTTTAAAAGTAAGAGGCTCATTACAAAACATGAAGAAAGTCAGAATAATGTGAAGTTAACCCTAGAATCACCCTGTTAAATGTTTCCTATAAAAATAACAGTCTTTGTATAAAAACATCTTGTAAAAGTTATGTATCAGCTTTCTTTGTTGAAAGTAAGGGTTGCCAAATGTACAATTTTTAAATCACACAATTTGCACGGTGTCGGTGTTTGACTGCTTTAAACGGAAACATCTCGTTAACACTGTTAAACATGCTTTATTTGCCGGTTTTCCCTTGGGACATGAATGCAACATAATTACAGGATAGTTCTTCCCACCTCATTGGAGGACTGTGTGTCTGCTCTTCACTTATTGGCTCTTCCCGTCTCGTGCTCTGTCTGAAGCCCCAGCGTGTACACCAAGCTGCGCGTGCGCTTTCCAACTCAGCATCGTTAAATTTGCCGAATTGACGAAAGGAAATACCGGAAACAGCAACATTTTACATACAATATAAAATAATGAAAAATAATCGACAGAAGAAAATAATATTATTTATTGAATAGATTGTCAGGTAATAAAGTTGTACGTAATGTTGATTTCTGTTGTTGGTGTCGTTAAACAAAATTCAGAGGGGATAGCAATAAAGAATATAAACCGTTTTGTGAAGTATATGATCCTCCTAACCACAACTGGTTCTGTTAGCACATTCATATCTTTGTCCAGTGTGTTTGAGAGCAGTCCCTGATAGACATGGGCAAAGAGCAGATTTTATATTACAGCCGTTTCACATATGCAGCTACAAGATCCATATCTGTGTCACATGACATGAATACCATTTATTGTAAATAAACGTTATTATAGCACAACAGACCAGCAAACAAGGCCAAACAACCTATTTTGTGTTTTACAGGTTTGCCCCTTTGACATGAAACACCTAGGGGCCGATGAATGCCTTTACTCACTCAATCTGATGATTAAGTATTGAGAATCACAGACAACCAGTCTTCCCACGTTCTCACACTACACTGTAACAATGTGATGTGCAGTTGCTGTATTCATAGGCTGATTGGGACCTTTTTAAGAAGCAACATTTATCAATTCAACCAAATATGGTTTACAATAATAGATGAATACATTTCCCACCAGATTAAAAAAGGAACTCCTTCCCATTCCCAACATTTAGAACATCATGTTTGTAATTACAATCCCTTTGCAATTACACTTAATAAACTGAATCAATTAAAAAAAAAAAATTATGTTTATACTTTCTTCCACCTATAAAGATTACAATTTCATCCAAATTAGGGATGAATAAAGTATCTGTATCTATCTATCTATCTATCTATCTATCTATCTATCTATCTATCTATCTATCTATGTAGAGTTGTTATTTCTGGAGCCATGGTCTAGACTAGAGTAAATCAAATACAAACACCATGTCCCTTCACGGAGAAATGGCTTCAGAGATCTTGTTCTCATAGTTAGGGCGGCACACTGAGAAGGGCCGCACTGCAGGGGTTTTATTTTGAAAGTCCACAGCGGAAGTGCTGCCGGTTATTCTCGTTAATTGACAGCCGGCAAGGCTTTGCAAGTCTTGAGTGTGGCTTCAGTCAGGAGATACCATGTCCGCCGTCACAGGCACACTGTACTCACCTCTCCTCTCAGTTACAACTCATTCTCCATGAAACAACAGTAACACGGGGCCTCCAGGATGGCCAACTCGGTGAGTAACCAGTCGGGAGATGAGCTTTTCAGCCCGGTACCATTGGAGCATCTTTTTTGGACATGTTGCTGTTTTACTCCGGAACGAGGATTGAAGCCCTGCAGCTAGCAAGAGCCACTGCGTGCTGAATGACCAGTGTAATGCAGAAACCTGCCAGTTTAATGGGCTGCTCCTTACCTGCAGAAATGCGTTTGATAATTTCCGAAAAGCATTTTCCAATTAGGGGTACAGTCCGTCCTACAATTCGGCATAATGTTACACCCGAAACGTAGCACTTTAATTGGGTAAAATGTCAACTTTCTTGAGGCTTTTAGTTATTTCATTACTTTTTAAAGCCATGTAACGGTCACTTTACCACTTTGTAGAAAACTACGGGAGCAATTTTAACAAATATGAAGATTTTGGAAATGGTAACTAGGCTACTTAATGAGTGGTGTATATATTTAATATGTAAATGTATGCTTAAGCTTATAATCAAACGGCGTGCTCATGCAGGTGTGTAATTTAGTCAATCCAAAAAAAATGTAATTAAATGATCAGATTGTTGAATGGAGTCTGCATGAGGTTCTCCTGCAGGAGGAAGACATGCAGACAGAGGGAGAGTACTCAGATCAGAAGTACCAGAGAGTAGGAATACTCTGTACAAGTACAAGTCCTGCATTCTAAATGTTACTGAACTAAAAGTAGAATAGTATAATCATCCAAATATAGTGAAAGTAGCGACAGTAAAAGTAGTCGTTGTGCAGATTGGTCCATTTCAGAATAATATATATGATATGTTTTATAAGGATTGATCATGAAAGTGTTCTCAAAGCTGGTAAAGGTGCAGCTAGTTTGAATGACTTTGTATACTGCAGGGTAGCTGGTGGATTTACTCCAGGTGGAACTAAAGTCTGATTTAACACTTGATTAGATTTCACATCATTCATCCACATCTGAGAAGTAACTAAAGGTATTAAATACATGTAGTGGAGTAGAAGTACACCATTTACCTCTGAACTGTAGTGGAGTACAAGTACAAAGTAGCATGCAATGTAGTATCTCAAAATGTTACTTAAGTACAGTCCTTGAGTAAATGTACTTAATGAATTCCCACCTTTGTGTTAATGTAGGCCAAAGCCTATAATTAAACAGCATGCTCATGCAGGTGTGTGTTTTTGTGTAGGGTCTAAACATGTAATTGAATGATCAGATGAAAATGGAGTTAGCATGACATTCCCCTGCAGGAGGAACACACGCAGGCCACTGACTGCATGATATACTGGACAAGTGAAAGCAGCATCAATTCATCGAAGTGTTGATTTGAACCCCAGTGATAGGGTTTTAATCTTTCATCGTAAAGATTCTGGGCTACACATTCTTACGTACTAAGTCCAACATGCGTAATAGTGTGCATCTTTTGTGTGTACTGTTCTGGATGTGAGTAGTAGCCCAGCGTGGTTTTGATTTGCAGGGTGCTGTTCAGGTGAAACTAGAACTCGGTCACCGTGCCCAGGTCAGGAAGAAACCCACCGTGGAAGGCTTCACCCACGACTGGATGGTGTTTGTCCGCGGCCCGGAGCAGAGCAACATCCAGCACTTTGTGGAGAAAGTGGTTTTTCACCTGCACGAAAGCTTCCCCAAACCAAAAAGAGGTAAGACGCCTTTTATTCCTGCTGTTTTGGTCCCTTGGGATGTTACACCTTCTACTATTTCTACCAGGCAGCTTGGTTTCCGAACACAGACATAGGTATTGGGCATCCACAGTAATCGTGTAGAAAAGAATGCATTTCCTTCTTTTAAGTGTCCTGTAGTGTACTAGAAGAGAGTTGTTTTGAAATCTATGAGCAGCAATAGCTGTGCATGTTGTCCGGTTGCAAATCATTTGTCACAAATACTGGAAATAACACAACTTAATGTGTGACTGAGAATATGGAAATGGAACATTGGAAATATTTTTGCACCAATGCATATAATTGTGTTTTGTTGTCTGTTTGACAACTGACATCTTGCAGTTTCTTCTATATGTAATTTGGAATGTATGAGTTGGTTTGAAACATTTGATGAGTCAGACGAACCCTTATGTGAACACGGCTTGATTTGGGTCCTGTGAAGGAAATCATTGATGTGAATGATGTGTGTTGGTTTTGGTTGGTTGCAAGCACAACCATGCCAGTGGTCAAGGTTAGACTCTGCATTATGAACGTGTGCAGTCTCCCAACATGCTCTGCGATGCACCCATAGGCTACTAAAGCTACTAAAACACTGCGATAATGCCAACATTGCCGGTTATTGCATGCTGTGTCCAGTTTTAAACATGTCGGACCTCAAACCCTGACATCTGAGCAGCTGAGCACAGCAACATCTCAGCGTGTTGGCCTGAAAACATATTGAAATGGTTTGTATCAAAATAGTTGTAGATCAGTTCTCTTTTGATCGATTCATTGAATGATGGATGAATAACTGCTGCTTTGAATGATGATACATAATATGTATGTGCAATGACAGACATGGCATCTGAATGTGTATGGGCATTTCTTTAATCAGTGTATTCTGAGTGATCTCATGCTGTATTCTGATTGGTTGGTGTGCAGAGATGAAGTCACATGTGTGTGAATTTGGTCCAACATTTCTTCCTCGGTCAGATTTGTAAAGCCAGCTGTCTGGTTTCTGAAACTCGTCTCCGGAGCGACGGCCAATCACTGCTCATGTTTCTGTCCTAAAGTCCCTCGGTGTGTAAGGGCCTCTGCAGACCATCGTGCAGGGTGTGTGTCCCGTAAAGGAGTCCTAGTGCAGCATCTGGCCAGGAAGGGATCAAACATCATATGTTCTGCTTCAGGATTTTTGACCCCCCTTCAGCCTTTTGTAAGTTTAAGGGCTTTGTTTATGAGACGAACGCTTGGCATCAGTCCAAGGTTAATTCCTCTTGTTGCTCCACATGTGATTATATAGGAGTCAGGTTTCACATAAACATTTGATTTATAGACTTCACCCTATGAAATAATATTGTGGCTAACTCTCTGTTTTTTTCCTTATGTAGATTAGGACCAATACAGTGTACATTAGTGAGAAATACAAGTCAGTATGACCACCACTAGCAACAGCTTGTTGACATTAATGAATGTAGGGCTGTGAAAATGTATTGTCATATCCAACAATCTGTTCTCAATTCATGTAGTGTTTTGGCTCTAACTGTATCCATGAGTTTCTTACCTAATAGAACTTGCTGCAAAAAAAAACCATTAGATCACTTTAGTGAAGAGTTATGTTGTCTTTATATATGTTGTCATATGTTCCTATGATTAGTAATCGTTTATCACAATGCCAAGATTCAATCAGGGAATACATGACCTTAATCGCAATATAAATACAGAAAAGCCTGTTTTACCTTATTCAATACAATTGATCCTTTCTTTTACAATTGTTGTTTACAACATTTGTTGAGTAAGATACTGGAAGATATAACAAGCTCTGCAAATGAGAACAAATCCTTATTTGCTTAAAATAATTATAATCTTTTGCTATTTTTTCTTAAATCTTATCATCATATGAAATGCAATGACTCTCCATAGTGCTTATCTGCAGGAGGCAGCAGCACAGATCCTTCTCTTTACAAACCACTGGCTAAAATATGTTTGCCATGAACCATAAAAGATCACTAGACTCTTACTGTATTTTCAAACTTTGGCGTCGTAGATATAAAGGCAACATTCTCCAACGTGATTTATTTTGTCAACATCTGATATTTCTGAGAAGGTGGAAACCCCTGAAGGGTCTGAAGTCAGAATGTGTCAAGTACAGATATGACTTTAATGAATTACCAGTTTAAAAATGATGGACTGTGATGCGTTTTAAAAGAAGACATGTTTTGAGACGTTGCATACATAAACTTGGACACTTAATGCATTAATGCACCCCGCTGCCTTCAAGCTGAGTATACATCAAACTCCTATCTCCTATCAGTTTGCCTTAAAGGTCTCCTATCATGCAAAATGCACTTTTCAATGTCTTTTATATATCAATATGTGTCCCCGGTTTGTAAGGAGACTCACAAAGTGTCAAAAAACTAAACCCTCTCTCTTTTCCTCTGTACCCACATCTCTAAAAACGGGCGAACAACGGAGCTGATCCAGATTTGTGTCTAATATGACGTAATATCTGAAATGTGGGCTGGCTTTACACCCACGGCACTATCGGAAACAATGTGCAACGTGTTTTGGACGTAATATAGTCTTTGTTTACATTAGCAAGCAGTGCTAACACTCAGAGCTAACGATGTACTGGAGAGAGTATGTGTAAAGAAGCAGGAAACAATAAAAGAAACTCACCTTGTGGTAAACCTGAGAGAGAAAAGAGTTTGAGCTCCATACTGTTTCAGAAATAATCCTTGATGTGGTTTGGAACATGATATGGCGTTTCATCAAGGCAGCGTTTAGCTGTATTTGCCGGAGCTCACAGTGTTCCAAAGGGGGCGGGGCCAGCAGCTACTGACCCAGAATCAGCACTTTAGTAACAGGGCTGAAACAGAGCGATATGAGGGATGTCTGAAATGCATGATCTGTTTGGTATTTTGAGCAAAACAAATCATAGACATTTTTTATATTTGTATATATCTGAGACCCATAATATATGCCTACAAATAGCATGATAGGAGATCTTTAAAAGTCTTTGAACACAACAGACCAGATGAGGTTTGGTTCTGCCCCCTCCTCCCTTCACCTGTTGTGGTCCAGTCCTGATAGATGTGATGTGGGGCTGAAGACCAGAACCTTACGCCCAGCAGGAGAATACCTAACCTTCATAAGTCTCACGCCATGACACAGGAGATCTCTCCAGTGTGTGAAGTCTGGGTGACAAAGTGCTTCCTGCTCTTTTGGCTCTTCAGATGTTCTTAAGTGTATATAGTTGAGCTGCTTAAGTGTTGTTATAGATCAGAGACAAATACTGGAGGAAATTATTAATTATTTTTTCTCCACCTGATTGAGAATAAAGTATTTTAAGATTGACCTTTTTATATACCCTTAGATTATTTGACATTCATATCATATTATTTTAAGTTCAGGTGTTTTGTGAGGGATAATGTAAAGGGAGCAGGTCATCCTTTTTTAAATGACCCTCACTTTAATTAAATGTACTGTATGTCACATAAACATTAGGTTAGTTGAAAGCAATAATATTAAGTTTAAATGGCAGTAAAAAGATAAGGGTTCAACTTAAAGTTATTGCTTTCAACCAACCTAATAGTTATTTGGTGACATAATACATTTAATTAAAGTCAACGTTTCAGTTTGTCAGTGCATACAGAGTTATGGTATCCATCGCAGCGTTCTGCTATGAAGAACTGATTGGTCAATTACAGCTTTCTACGGCCTATCAGTATTGAATATCAACAAAGCCATGAAATAATTAGTGAGAAGTCAAAGTGTTTTGCAAAGTGTACCTGCGGCATTCAGTGCTTTGTTTTCTCTGCTGAACAGAGGATTATTTCTTTCAAACTCAAATGTAGGTAGCGAGTATTATGATAATAGCAGAGATTCAGAATCCTATGTCCAGGTGAAGGTTGAGGTGTAGTGCCATTTTTTTTATTTCAGATTAAATAAATAGACAATAGAGATTGAATTAATAAACCTCTTAATTGTGAGGAGCTGCTGTTTTTTCTTTGTCATTTGTTTGAACAAACCAGAAATATCTGGTTCTAGAGCGTTGGTTGGACAAACAAGAGACTTGAAAATGTCGTATTTTAATTCAAAAATGTTTCTGATATTCAAAGGACTGCTACGATTTGACTCGATCATTGAGTCCCTTGACAAACTGCAAATCATTCAGCCAATGAAATAAGAGGATTTGCTGCTCCTCTTTGTCATGTATGACGATGATTTGAATATCCTTGGGTATATGACTGTTGGTCAGACAGAAGAAGCTCATGGAAGACTTCATTGTGGAATTGCATTTCTTTCACACTTTCTTCACATTTGATAAACTAAACAATTAATCAAAAAAACATTCATATGAATCAATAGCCACTACAAGCATAATATGCAACTCTAGTGTGACTACAGCTAGTGATGAAGGCTGTTTTTAATCAAAGATTTCATTTTGTTCTGCCTTGCTTCATCTAAAAATCTGACAATTTGCAATAATTAACTGGGTTTAGACGATGCTTCACATTTTCCCCAAACACCACCTTCCTAATGATGTGTTGTTCGTAAACCCGCAGACATTCAGTGTACACATACGGAGAGCAAAGAGAAGCAATGAACCCTAATAATTGAGAAGCTGGAGCCAGACAATGTTTGGCAGTTTTGCTTGATAAATGATTTATATTATTATGAGATTATTGAACTGTTGACTATTAATTATCCTTTGTTTATTCATCAACCATTTCTTTCAGCATTCATATGGTTTTGTTGTCAATGAATCTAATGAAATAGACATGACCAAATGATTGTGATAGATATGTTGTCAGTGATGTCAAAAGTCATCATAATCTTTACTTTAGTAAAAGTGCTGTAAAAATACTCCATTTCAAGTCAAAGTACTGCATCAAGACTCATTCATTAAAGGTGGGGTAGGTAAGTTTGAGAAACCGGCTCGAGATACACTTGTTATATTCCATGGAATGCTCTTAACATCCCGATAGCAATGAATATCTGAA